GTAGGAAAATACCGTACGAAGTTTGTTGTTATAGCTGTGGAACTCGAATCCAAGATATTCCGGACTATGCTCGCTGTTTGACATAGTTTATCTCTCGAGAATTCTCTTCTTCATCTGCGTTTCCGTTCGACGTCAATTTGTTGTTCAGTTCTCTCATTTCTGGCAGTTTGGTTTCTGTTTTCAAAATACGCCCGACTCGAATGTATCATCTCTTTAAATTTTTGGAAAAAACGAAAGACACGGCTTCTTTTCGGTACACTGTGCGAAAGGATAATCAAATGAACGACGAAGAACGACTTCAGAAAGCTACTGAAATCACCAAGCGAGACTGAGAGTGAGATCAGTTTGTCTTGTTAAATACTTTGCACAGTGTCGCGTTGCTTTCTATTTAAAACTGTCTGAACCGGAGTTGATCGAACGAACGATACTGTTTCAAGTTTCTCTCTTCATCAAATCAAGTAGCTTTTACATAACGAAAGCATTAGAAAATACATCTGTTCTGATTTATCAAGAAATTGACACGTAAAGCTGTTTCTCTAACATTTTCCTTGTCCACTTTTGCGAGAAAATGTGGACAGAAAACAACGAACGACAATAATCCATCGAAAATCAGAAGTCAAACTGCTAACTAAATTAATTAACCCAACTCCTTTGATCTTATTGAATCAGAGATTAAACTTCTTTCACGTTCACTCAGAAACTAAGTTAATTAACTGACTATAAAGAAAAAAAAAAAAAAACAGCTCGCGGCTGACGGATAACGCGTTCCCAATAATTCAATAGACGAGGACGCGAGCGAAATTATGGAACGACCTAGTACCCGACGCGTGGCTGAGCTTAAATCAGACACACCGCCACGTTTGCTAGCAGCCGCGCGGGAAATATCAGCGAAATCGATGATCCGAATCTTCCCTCCCTCTCTCGCCACAAATTGACGTTCGCGCGCGTTCTCGTAAATGAGCAACGAGCTCGGGATTTCCACGGCCAGAAGAAGAGCCGAGAGCCCAAGTGAAGAGCAAACGCAAAACGTGGGAGCTGAAACGGTTGGCAGAGGAACCTCCAGTCGTAAATTCGACTGTCGCGTCTGTTGGCAAGAGGCAAGGTCTTGTTGAGAAATTGACGCGTGCGGAGGCGACCGTCTAGCGAGAACTTGGCAATTTATTACGATCGGTTTCTCTAATTCGGCGAGACTTTTCAACCTTGGACTGGCGTTGACTGTTGCCAGTTGTCGCCTGAAAAATCGTAGCTCGTAGGTCGTCTTCTTTTGGGAGGGAAGAATTGAACCCCTTTTGTTTCGCGAAGACATGAGAATGAATGGGAATGAAACGAGAAAACGAGGCGAAATTTTAGCCTTTCTGTCGACTGGCTGAGCGAAACTATCGAGGGACGGAACGATCTCGTAGAATTGGCGTGTTTTTCGATCGTACGGACCTTTAGCAGCGATTTGGAAAGACGAGAACGTTCGTTTATTTATCTTTGGCGTTCCCTCGAAACTGTTTCGACGATGTTAGACGTCGATTATGAAAATACCCTTCCACGTAATAAGAAAGAAGTTTCTAAGAAAAAGAATCGACTTTCTAGTCAATTAATTACACCATTATGAAATTTTTATTTATTGTACAAGCACGAAAAAAAAAATAAACTTCTTCGAGAATATAAAATTATCAACGTTTAGTAATTTTGGGAGAGGACATTATTTTGATGATATTAGTTGTGAATATACCCGATCTTTCCACGTAATAATAAAGGCGTACTTTCTAGTTAAATAGCGAAACTACTGTGAAATTATATTATTTCTATTAATTGCACACTATCGTTATTTAATTTGCAAGTATAAAAAAAAGAATAAGGGTGTAAAATTATCAACGTTTGGCAATAATTTGGAAAGATAAGGACACTCGTTTAGAAATATTTATCTCGATCTTTCTACATAATAATAAAGAGGTACTTTCTAGTTAAATAGCGAAACTACTATGAAATTATATTATTTCTATTAATTACATACTATCGTCATTTAATTTGCAAGTATAAAGAAAAGAATAAAGGTGTAAAATTATCAACGTTTGGCAATAATTTGAAAAGATAAGGACACTCGTTTAGAAATATTTATCTCGATCTTTCTACATAATAATAAAGGGGTACTTTCTAGTTAAATAGCGAAACTACTGTGAAATTATATTATTTCTATTAATTGCA